GATGCAGTTTGCATGAATGACACCATGTATATGTGTCAAGGCGCTCTTCTTCCCCCCTCCAACCCAGCTTAAATATACGCTCCAAGCTTGGTGGTGTTTCATTCTTCACCTGAGGACGGCTGCTTGCGTTGTGGCCGAAACGTCGTGAGAATTATTTTATTATGTTTTATTTTTATTATTTTATTACTTCCCTTCTACGTGACTTTACCGAAAGAACCAAGAAGATAACAAATACTCATCCTGATAACTAACTACCTCGACAAGAGAATGATTCTGTGGTGGGGGGGAGGGGGATACAGGACAGGTGACAACTCCAGAGCTGAGCAGACACCCACAGCAGTGGCCACTGCCTTCGAGGACTGTGCACGCGGATGACCTCTGCAGCGCCATGGACGTCACAAGGCCCACCTGGGCAGCTGCAGCTGTCTCGGGGAGCAACGTGACACCAGCGGCTTGTATCGACACAACACTTCACTAGGCGGTATTTATGGATATTTACGCAGGAAGGTTATTTTTTGTTGTTAATTAAAGTGAATAATTTCACTTGATTTTCCAAAAAAGAAAAAAAATGCATTATTGTAGCATGGCGTCATCTGGTCGAACACCATATGAGACTAAGCTCCAAAGAAAGCTGTCTCTGGTGTGGACCAATCAGTTTCAAAGACAATGCATACATTATCAGAGTATTGTTTTTTTAGCATTTGACTGCAGGTATTGTGGTTAATGTAAGCATGATTCCTTGCAAAAGGTGTCAGTTTTGTTGCCAGAAAAAAAGGGAAAAAACCCTATTAGTATGCGTCAGCAGTTCTTTTGTTCACTCCACATGCTGGAATCCTCTTCAACAGCAGCCAGCAGCGTTGTATAACCAAGGGAGAAAGTGAGCCGCTCAGTTCAGACCCCGAACGAAAATCTTCCCAGCACGTGGAGCGAAACGTCGGACACCACGCGGTCCGAAAACAACACGCGGCACATCGTGACCGCCCCATCAGAGAGATAAGCGGTACAGACGAGAGACACCGAGATGAAGGACGAGCCGGGCGGTAATAAGACGTTTAACTTACATACACAATACGTAAACTTATTTCTTTAGGGCTGAATTTCGATTTAAAGCTTTCGTGAATGCAGGGATTCATCATCTTGGTTCTTTCGGTAAAGTCACGTAGAAGGGAAATAATAAAATAAAATAAATTTACGTACTAAAATAAAATTCTCGCGACGTTTCGGCCACAACACAATCAGCGGACGGATTCTACGTGACTTTACCGAAAGAACCAAGAAGATTATTTCGGGCTGCTTTGTGTGTCTAGTTGTCCTTTCCCCCGCACCTTCAATTAGCACGGTCAGGCCACGTACGGCGCGAAAGAAGTTCAACGCACGCACAGGACGGCTCACGGCGGCGACGAGCCTTACAGCACTACGAGGCGAGTCGCCACGTGGCGCAGCGAGTGCCTGGCAATGGCAACAGGCGCCAAAGCGACGCCAAGTGGAGCTTGACATGCAAGCCTCCGAAGGTCCCAATGCACGCAAGGGGTGCGGGTGGGCCTCGGTCGTGCCGCGCTTTTGCATTCGTTGAGACATTTCGAACCCAGGGCGTTTTACGCATTCGGGTATGCGTTGTCCACAGAGCGACAAGAAACAAACGAAGCTGTAATCGATCGGGCCTGTGTGCCCAATGGCGGGGAATGCTGGTGGGTTGCAGAGCATGTGGCTCGCAGGCCGGTGAAGAGAGAGGGGGTTTTGTTTTTTGAGGATTCCTTGCTGTATTTCCTGCGCCAAATTCCCCGAGCGGCCAAACTTTTCTCCGAAAAAGATTTCCCCACGAGGGCCAAGAAATGCACGAATGGCTCTCACCCACCAGATCACGACAAAAAACACACAACAGCAAATAAATACATAACGCACACGGATAATGTAGGTACCAGTGGCGTAGTGACTACATTATCAGTGGCGTAGTAACGACATTATCAGTGGCGTAGTAACGACATTACCATTATCAGCTTAGGGGGTACGGCAATCGGTCAGATGGGCCCCAATATTTTACGTCTCGCACGGTCACACTTTGGGCTATTATATATCGTGGCTCCTCTTGCCTCATCACATCAGCGTTACGCTCGCGGTCTCGAACATTTAAACTCTGTAGGGGCGCTCAGTCTTCAAGTGTTTTGTTCGATTACACTTGTTGTTGAAAGATCTCATGGTGGTCGTCAAGGGAGGCGCAACTCGTAGCTTTGTTCACCATGGGAAGCCAAGTCGCCCCTTGCTACTGGTTGGTAGGTATAGATAACATAAACGTGATGCCAATACAGGGAGGTGAAGGTGACACCTGTGTGGTGTGCAAGGTCGGTCGAATCAAAGGGTGCACAAACGTCGCACCTGGTTAACTCGGTGCTCGTCAATAATTTCCTGGCACGCGGCGCGAAACGTCGGACTACTGTGCGCCGAACAACGCTCGGCACGACCGCTCGCAACCGCGATAACAACAGTGAACTTTTTTTTCACCGTTCCTCTGCGCATTTCAATTAGCACGAGGCCCCCATTACCCTCCTCCACTGTACGCAAATATGGCGCATGACAACGCCAGTCTGGGCTGCTTGTGACCACCAGTAGGCTCTCGCATACGTCCACAAACAAAGATCCCCCGTATAGCCTTCGATAGGCTGTTGGGGACAAGTGCTATTAATGAGCGTCTATGAAGGCTGACGCGGCACGCACACGAGGGGATGAGTAGCTAACACCATTCCCGGTCACCTGCGTCTCTCATTTAAGGCCGAGTCGACCTAAGGGAGAGTCAGGAAATCCTCAAATATTCGCCACTGTTATTGGTCGTGAGCGGGAATCAAATTTCGGTTGCACACAAAGACAGAGACACACGATACAAAGCTTACACCTGTTGTACATATCTCGCACAAATGCCGACGCAAGGCCTTGCCAACGTATATCGTGTTGCAGTATGATGATCGCATTCGTGTTGAAGGAGGGAGGGAGGGGGGGTTGTTGGTTTTCTTTTCGTAATTGCACAAAAATTCGGCTGATTTTTCTTCGTTCCAGCTGAAGAAACAAAAACGGCAAAAATTCGCCGGAGCAGTCGCACGTCCGTTACGCCGCCGCCGTCGTATTAAACAAAAAATTGCACAACAAAATATTGTCAGGGAAAAGTTAGTCGTTTGTTGTTAATGTCATCTCGTGAAAAAATAAGAATAGGATTTGCCCTTTCTGGCAATGAAACAGTTGTGTTAAGATGTTCGAACACCAAATAGAAACCTTTTGCAAGGAATCAAGTCTGCGTGAACCACACACGCACTTGCGGTGAACGTGCAGACACACTCTGATAATTACACGTGCATTGTCTGTGAAACTGATTGGCCTACACCTGTTTTATTGGCAGAAAGAGTAACACTTTTCCTTACTTTTCATACTTTATACGCGCAAAAATGTCCCGTGATAATTTCATCCTGTTTCTTTTCCTTCATTTCCTGCCGAGTGCAGGAAATTAAGGAAATCTGGCAGATTCCTAGTTCGTGCGTGCATTGCATCAAGAGCTGCCAGCCCCTTACTATCGCATTCACAGCGTACGGTGCGGTGTTCATTAAGGTTAAGAGGGGCACATGTTTTGTTTGGAAGAAGTTGCATAAAAAATAAATAATAATAATACAAGCCACGTGGCAGGAGAAAATAAAAAACATGACGCGTTGGCTTTCTTACTCTGTACAGCGTCTGGCATTGACTCGTCTTGCTTACTTTGCGATGTGTGAGTGAGCACATTCGCGTATTCACGTGTGCCTATGCGTGCGCACGTCCCAAATAGCCATCAGCGATAGAAACCGACAGAAGCGCAGAATATTTACAAAGCCACCTCCCACCTCCCCACGCTACCCCGTGCCAGCGTGAGTAAATCTCGTTAGCAAACGCGACAGAAGCCAGGCAAAGAATCTGCGCTGTTGCATCAGCGCCAAAATTACGACGTACAACTACACAGAGAGAGAGAGAGCGAGCGAGAGAGTGTGCCGCTCTGTGTAGATTTGCTGATGAAAGTGGTTTGAAATGTTTTGAGAATTTACCGTCGTGAATTCACCGTTTTGGGGCCAATGATGCTGTCATGGGAGTAATGGTGAGCGCATTCTACCAGCGATCCAGAGGTCGCCGGTTCGAATCAATCTCCCGGTGCCGGCAAGTTGAAACCATGGTGCAAAGTTTCTTAAATGTCTCCCTCCCCTGCCTCTGTCAGCAGTATAAATGTATACAACCACAGTTGGTAGGTCGCGTGTGGTGGAGTAAAGCGTGGGTACTCCCACCCTCTTCCAGCACGTCTGACCGGTGTGGAAGAGGACAACCGGAAACGTTTGGGCGTTTACTCTCGTGGAGGGCTCATCTGACAGGAGTGGCGTGAGCATGCAATTGCAAAACTCGGATCTTTCCGCGATTCAGGACCACGCTTTGATTCAAGAACCATTATTTTTTTTGTTGGTCTCGTTTTAAGTTCTCATACGTATTGGTTCGTGTTTTTCTTTGACTTCCGTACATTTTTGTTTGCTCCCACAGCCTCACCGTAACAGCAGCGAATTGTTGGCATATAAACCAATTGTTCTCGCCCATGTGATTTTCCATGGACGTTATCGCGAGACTCAAAAAAAATCTATGTTTGTTGAATTAACCGATTGCCGTGCCCCTCGTTAGCAGTGTCGTTGGTAGCGGTGACGGCTTGGTTTTATTTGGTATACTCGAAAACACATTCTTACAGTTTTGACAAGTGGCATTGCATTTTTAAAATGTGCGCCGAATAATTTTGGCACGGATACACACAGACACAGAACACAAGCGATGCCAATGGCTCATGTAAGGGTGTAGAATAACAACAGGGCAGGAAGTTGTTATGGAGGAGTAATTCCACCAATCATTATACATCGGATATTGCACAAATCAGTGCACAGACGGTTTATATTTTCAAAGTATAAATGTTTTTATGTTCATATTAACTAAAGGAACTAAAGGGTACTTACACAATCGGTTATTTTTTTATTTTACGAAATGATCCGACTTGTTTGTTTTTGACAGAACTGACGTCAATGTGTCTGTGAAATCGATAGAATAAAAACAACTTTTTTTGTTTCCCCCCCCACCTCCCTCATTTCCTAAACAACTCCAGGAATCGAGCGACAAAACCATCGAACACACAACAACAGCAGCAGCAGCAACTAAACTACGACACAAACTATACACGGGTACCTGAATTTAACGCTGGCAAAGATTTGCCACTCACTTCGAAAATGAATAAAAACGTATTGTGTTTTTTTTGTCTTTATGTTGCTGTTTTTGTTGCTGTTTAGATGGGAGTCGGCTATTCCACAGACTGATAGTGGTGGAATAAGCCGGCAGAGCACGCTGTACAAGGGGCATGCGCTTATTTACAGAGGCTTGCCGTCACACCGACAGGGTCTCCTCCGCCATGCAGGAAAACCCTTTGAACTCATCCTGGTTGATCTGCTTGATGATGGCCTCCTCGATGGGTGTGAGCCCCGGCTCCTCCTTCGTGAAGTCCTGGTCGAAGTTGTTCACGTCCTTCTTGGTTTTCTGTTGGCAGAGGGAAGGGGCAAAGATGCGTGATTCAGAGTATTTTGCGCGGTAAAGATGCATTTTTCAGAGCAAAAAAAAGCATTGCGTTTATATGACATTTCTTCAACGAGACAAAAACTCAAAGCGCCTTCAAATTAACTTTTTATTTTATTTCACCAGGTAAGGCCCACTGAGCTATTACGCTCTTTTTTCGGGAACGACCTGGCCACAAATGATAGCTCAACGAAGCGGCTTATCACGTGGAAATGTATCGCAGACAAATACTCGAAACGCGTGATGTTGATTCGAAATGTGGAGGGGAGAACATAAGGACACGGAGAAAAATCCACGCGACCATGGAGAGAGAGAGAGAGAGAGAACATGCAAACTCCAAATATACACGCGTCAGGGTCGGGATTGTACCCAGGACCTCCTGTATGCCAGGCGAGGTAGTGAACATCTCTCCAGCGCACCGCCCATTATATCACATCCCAAACGGCAACCACTCCAATGCCCTGCTGCAATCTAGCCTCGAGCGCCCCTATTGGTAGCCATCCCTGTGCAGCACAGGGTGCAGCACGGGGTGCAGCACGGGGTGCATGCAGAACCGGACTGCAGATGGCCATTAGTCGGACAGTCGAGGGCAAAGATTGCTACGTGTTTTTATTTTCCCAATTAAATTACACTGGTCAAGACACTTTTTCTGGCATAAGGTATTCCAACGGTTTTAGGGTAAGTTTGGGGTGCTGATTCGAAATCTGGCATCAGTTTTTGTCTATCACATCAGGTTTTTGAGATATCAAATATTGCATTTTCAATAAAAACTACGGAAGAAAAATATTAAATAAATGTGGATATCTACATAAAATGATATTATAAACACACTATCCTAAAAATACAACACCATATTTTAACACTAAAGCAGTCACTGACTCGCAACAACTTGCAATCATAAGTGACGGAGATAATTTCGGGTAAAATCAATGAAAATGGGGTATGCCGATAGCATAAAAATCGATGTGATAGAGCAAATCTGAGATCAGATTTGGAATCACCACCCTGAAATTAGTCTAAAACAGCTGCAAAAGTCCAGACCAGAAAAAAAAGGTTTTTTTTTGTTGACCAGTGTATAATTTGCGAGTAATTTACCAAATTCAGGCCAATTTGAATTAAAAAAGATGTTTCACTCAAACGACCATGGAGTAGGCATCCTTGCCTCTTTACAGCCATGAGCTAGTGGGATAAATTCCTCATTCCTATGGTGGGAGAAGTAGAATCCATAGCATGGAATCGTAGAATTCCTCCCACTGGTGATGGGTGGACAGCGGTCACGTTTCCTGATCATGTAAAGTGAGGAATGCTCACATATCTTCCACCAATAATAGCACAGCCTGAAACCTATGCTCTACTGCATCACATTAGTTTTCGTCGTGTAAACCTTAGTAAAATATAATAGATTCGTTTTAGTGGATTCTTACGTGCCAAAAGTGTAAGAACGCATTTTTTGCCTGCGAGAGGTCACAGCCAAGTGCTTTCCTACTCAGATGCACATTGAGGTAGTGCTCATACCCAGTTTACGGTCCCTGATTCAGTGATGGAAATTCCGCATTCCTCTGGTAGGGATGAGTCTATCCCAGGGGTCGGCAACCAAAATAACAAGAAGAGCCATTTCTTTCCAATTCGGTACAAAATTCAGTATTTCAAGAGCCGCAATGCATCTGAGTACATACTGTACATATCGTCAAGAAGCAGCCCGTAAAGAGCCGCATGCGGCTCCGGAGCCGTAGGTTGCCGACCCCTGGTCTATCCATAGGACAACTGTCGTTTGACTTCCGCACTAAGTGGTACTCCTTTGATAGACCCCGGAGGGATGATGGACTGAAGCAAATCACCAACCAGGATTCTAGCCTCGCAACCTTGCGATTGCAGGCCGCTCGCCCCACCTGTAAGCCCCCACAGGAGACATATACAGGTGGACGCCGGTGCACACGAAGAGTAGTAACCATTCTGCGCCGTCTGCATGTCGTGGGGGCAGTGCGGTACTCGCTCACGCGGACTTTGCAAGAACGCGGCTCTCTGGCGTGATGGTTGTGAGCCCGCAAAGCACCGGGGAGCACTCGCGGCAAAACTCAAGAATCCTGCCAAAAGAGCGGGGGAGGACATCTACCCGCATCTAAATGACGTCTCAAGTGAGCCAGGGAGAGGGGAAGTATTATTGTTGTTGTTGTTGTCGCTATACCAAAAGTACGCAGCGGCGTGGCGGCAAAAAGATCGATTCACCTTGGGGTGGAATGGACTGCGTACCCCTTGTCGGTGGCCCCCGGTGTAAGATTCTCCCCCCCCCCCCCCCCTCAGCTGGAAGTGCTTTAGCAAAACAGAATGTGAAACCCATGGCGGCTGATTAACGTGCAGAGGAAATTCATGCCCTCGAATCAAAGCAAAGGGCCAAGTGCGTGCGAGCGAGCGAGCGCTGCACGTGCGCGCACAAGCAAGGCGAGCGGCCGTGTTTGGCCCTAACGGGACCACATTTCCATGAGATGGAAGAAATTCTCGGCCGAAAGCTACGATGAGCGACAGCGGGCAGCGTGAGGGCTCATGATGGGCGCGTCGGAGACGCACGCTGGAGCAGCACTGCGGCCCCTGTGTCGGGTGGGGGGATGGGGGGGGGGTCTGAACACCTCTCTTGCTGAAGATGCAGCCCCCCCCCCCCCCCCCACCTTATACAGTCTTAAAAGTCGAGTCAACATGTATTGGTTAAAAATTGAGAACAAATTCCAACTTCACCTACGTCCAACTCCACCATCCCACCCCACCTACGTGCGGTCCCGTTGCGCCGAATTCGAATTTTCACGGAGTTTCCGTTCCCCTTCCAATGTCGATCGGCGTATTGCACCGGGCTCGCGTTTTGTCGCAAACAAACCAAAAAATTTGGGTAAAAAATTACGCGATGTGCGTCACGGATTCTCCTGCTAAAGCCAGGTGGCAAGAGACAAAGCAGAGTGCGCGACGGACATTGGTTTACGCTTTTGTTTAACATGGACAGTGCCGCTGTGCCCCCCTCCCCCCCAGGTCACGCTGCAGGGTGTCAGGACTCGCGGCACTGCTGAGAGCCTGGGTTTCGAATGTTGGGTATTTAGCCACGCACGGTGAAAGTGGGTTCTCGAGTGTAGAGATGTTACGGTTTCAGCCCGGCGCCCAAATGATTGCAGAAAAAAAATCAACCGTCATATAAAGGTAAAATAATTCACGTGGAAAAAGTCTCTCGTTTCCAGGAGGGTTCTGCATGACGATATTTTGATCGGTGACATCGTGGATGACTTCCCGGACACAGCCTCATACGTTTGATTGACAGTGTAAATGGGGGGGGGGGGGGAAAGACTCCCACACATTCGTCCATAACGCCGCTGTGCTGCGGAGAAGGACCACTGTTTGAAATGTCACCTATTTTATCGAAAAAAAAATCCTTTTAAGGCTACAGTATTAATGACGAATTTGTAGATTTTATTTTTGTTACTTGTGTAAATGAGAGGCGTTCTGGACGGGTCAGTCTAGTTTCCTCGCCTGGTTCGGCTAGTCTGGATGCTAATGGTCAACAGAGGTCGCAAACGGGTTTTGATTCCTTACCCGTACCCGTACCCGGCCGCACCAGGGTCGCAAACGGGTACTCGTACCCGGCCGGGTACGGGTACCCGTATGCTACCCGTACCCTACCCGAAATGAGTGACAAACGGTTACTCACCAGTGACTCACGGCCTACCCGTACCCGTACCCGGCCGCACCAGGGTCGCAAACGGGTACCCGTACCCGGCCGGGTACAGGTAGCCGGGTATCGGGTAGGGTACGGCTATCGGGTACCCGGATGCGACCTCTGATGGTCAATGACCACGTGCCTATGGATTCAATACACTGCTGCACCGCCATCTCCTGGTCACCTCAACAGCCCCGAGCCTACGGCTCCTGGAATTTCCAGGCAGCCTCCCAAACACGCGTTAACCAGGCGGGAAACCTCACAGTTCACATTTCCAAATCATCCGAATAACACATACGAGGTGTCATTTTAAATGTAATGTTACTGCAGTTTTGGAATATATATGGCTGACTTATAGAATGGGTCGCTGGTCTGTCACAGACATGAAAGAGACAGCACGGTCACCATTCCAGCATGGATAAAAATGCCAGTTCGATTTAGTATCTCCGACACCGCGGTATTCTATGGGTATTTCTCCATTATAGAAAAACGGGGACAAAATTAATTACATGTGAATTACAGAACTGCTCATTGGTTGACACGCTACGTCCAAGTAAATCGCCCCTTCATGATCGTACGCATAATGAAACCGCTTCTTCAACGTCTCCGAAATGTGCGCTGAACGTTTAACCACCCAGGGCTAAACTCGGCTTCGCTTCCGAAATCCGACAACGTTGGGGCGCATCTGCAGTCATTTGGGCCGAGTGATTCAAACAGAGAATACGCATTTTTTTCCCCCTTGAAACGATCTTGAGGTGTACACGTGCAATAATCAGCCAGATTGGCTTCTTGATCTTACAATACGAGGCCGGAATAGCGCCTTGATCTTACAATACGAAGCCGGAATGGCACCTTGATCTTACAATACGAGGCCGGAATGGCGCCTTGATCTTACAATACGAAGCCAGAATGGCGCCTTGATCTTACAATACGAGGCCGGAATGGTGCCTTGATCTTACAATACGAAGCCGGAATGGCGCCTTGATCTTACAATACGAAGCCGGAAGGGTGCCTTGATCTTACAATATGAAGCCGGAATGGCGCCTTGATCTTACAATACGAGGCCGGAATGGCGCCTTGATCTTACAATACGAAGCCAGAATGGCGCCTTGATCTTACAATACGAGGCCGGAATGGTGCCTTGATCTTACAATACGAAGCCGGAATGGCGCCTTGATCTTACAATACGAAGCCGGAAGGGTGCCTTGATCTTACAATATGAAGCCGGAATGGCGCCTTGATCTTACAATACGAAGCCGGAATGGCGCCTTGATCTTACAATACGAGGCCGGAATGGTGCCTTGATATTACAATACGAAGCCGGAAAGGCGCCTTGATCTTACAATACGAGGCCGGAATGGCGCCTTGATCTTACAATACGAGGCCGGAATGGTGCCTTGATCTTACAATACGAAGCCGGAAAGGCGCCTTGATCTTACAATACGAGGCCGGAATGGCGCCTTGATCTTTTTCTTCTCCAGGAGGTCCCAGTCCATGTCACGGAAGAACGGATGCTGCTTGATGGCCTCCTCGTAGCCGCGCGAGGCCACGCAGCCCAGACGTCTGCTCGGGTTCTTGGTCATGAACTGCTCCAACAGGCGACAACAACAAAATATAATATATTTAAAAAGGTTCCAATCAATAGGCATTATTTTTAATACACGTCGCCCAGATTTGCGCCAGATCTCGCCAGATCTTGAGTAGCTAAAGCCGAGTCGAGCCTGGATAGTGAATGGATGGGTGACCACTGTGCACAAACAGGTTGGCATAGAGATTTGGTTCTACGTCGTTGGCAGCAGATGGCAACGCAGGACAAATCTATTGTACTCCTGTGTTGCTCCAATTATCACGATTGGTTACATACGGTGCGAAAGAAGTTCAACATACGTAGAACGTTCATGCTCACCTTCACCAACTTGCACTGACCACCACGGTGAATTACAGTGAAATATTCAAAATTTACTATCCTTTCATTTATACACCCTAAAAATAGTGCATGTCGGAATATTGTGTCCCACTGTGTGTCAGCGTTATGGTCCAAATGTTTTACAATTACCTGCAAAGTAATTAGCCTCGTACTACACTCGTGATAACCTTGCACCCTTTCCCAAAGCTCCTGGAACGCCTTGTGCGCAAGTCATACATTTCATTGTTATAATTATTGTTAAATAAGAACGGAGCGAATATGAAACATACGGAACTATCGTCATTATTATGCTATAAAGGGGAGGGGGGGGGGAGTGTTTGTGAGGCCCCTAAAAATGTGAACTAAATAAAAAAAACATCATAAAATCTCGATTTAAAGCTTTCGTGACTGCAGGGATTCATCTTCTTGGTTCTTTCGGTAAAGTCACGTAGAAGGGAAATAATAAAATAATAAAATAAAACATAATAAAATAATTCTCACGACGTTTTGGCCACAATGCAAGCAGCCGTCCTCAGGTGAAGACCAGGTCTGTCTGGTCTTCACCTGAGGAAGGCTGCTTGCGTTGTGGCCGAAACGTCGTGAGAATTATGTTATTGTTGTATTTTTATTATTTTATTATTTATTATTTCCCTTCTACGTGACTTTACCGAAAGAACCAAGAAGAAGATCATAAAATCTCACCGCTTTCAGGATGGACACGGCCTCCTTGCTGAGCCAGATGGGGTAGAGGACGTCGTCGTGGAGGATCGACTCGAAGAGGTCGTCCTCGTTGTCGGCCTCGAAGGGCGGCTGCCCGGCCATCATCTCGTACATGAGCACCCCCAGGGCCCACCAGTCCACGGATGGGCCGTAGTCCAGCTCCTGCAGGATCTGCGAGCGTGCAAAGTCAAAGGCGGCGTGGATTCACTTGGGCGCTCTCGCTTAAACGCCCCGAGCATCTCAAAGCGCCATGCGTCTCATCGCAAACGGTCCTAATGCCCGGCTGCGCGTTTTTCCTTGTTTGGCCTCGGGGAGCCCCCTGATGACGGCTGTCCCTCCGTGCGACACAAGGTGAAGCAGCATCAGCCTGTAAGTATGGCATTAGTCTGTTCGTAGTAGGGGGGGGGGGGGGGGCGATGTTGCCACTGTTATGCCACTGAAGTAATGCGCAAGTAGTTTTGAAAATGTCGACCATGACGCCAGCACACAATGGCTTCTGGTGTACGCACATGTGTGTAATATTAATAATAACATTTAATTTAAATATTTATCTCCGGATCAGAATCTGTATTCATACTGGACGTATCTGATGAGCTACAAAGGCCTTTTCACAGAGAGGAAAACGTCACGCCAAGTCCGAGCACTATTGACAATTTATGGAATTGTCATCACTTAAGTAAAGCATCGATTCTCTTTGATGTCTTTTTTGTTTCCATCGCGTTTGTTTTGTCATAGGTTTTATTTTGCAGTCAAGAGATTGTCCTGGTCAATGCCGATTGTGGTCAATATAGCACCAACAGTGGCTGCAGGCTTTTTCAATAACCAAACGAGATACGATGTTTTATGAATGGGGACATCAGAATCTTGAATTGGACTGCAGGAATCCGATGACCTGTGAAGCTCTTATTCACACGTGTCCAGTCGGGGTGGGTCAGCAAATAACGGATTGTGAAGACTCTTTTTTTCAGGAGGATCTTGCTACATTTCGATGTTTGGCCAACACAAATGTGAGAGGAAACCAGAGAACCTGGAGCAAACTCATGCAGAACAAGGGGAGAAAATAATTACTCCACACGGAAATGTCAATAATCGAACCCAGGCATTTATTGCAAGACACATCCCTCCCCCCCCCCCCCAATATTCAAATATGCTCAAAATGTCTCCTCCAATATATTGCTATAAAATAGATTTCTGTGTATATGATTGTGGTCATGGTTGTACTTTATTAATCCCTAATCTCTGCCATTACATACATTGAAACAAGAAAAGGTAAAAAAGAAAAAACAGAGCAATGTAATACAATACACTATTAGACATTATTGTAAAACATAAATAAAAAGTCCATCCTATGTGTTGGTGAATTTTTTTTATATTTTAGGCAGGAAATGCGTTTTCAAATTTAGATATTTTTTCTGGGGGGGGGGGACCCCACACCCCCTGAAGATTTGGTCCCCCCCAATGTTGACTCCATGGCTCTGGCCTTGATCTATTGAGGTGAGACAATTTGTTAATGATGCGCCACACCGCCACCCTGAGTCCATGCATTACTACAATCATCCTCATTACCATCCCTTGAATTTAGATCTTCTAACTGGGTAAGTCGCACATGTATAACGTGTCTTACAATACTGTCACGTATGAAGTTTTCCTTTACATTCAGAAGCATTCAAAGAACACGTGTCTTTTTTTGTATATACATATTTAATTTGAATCCGCATAATGAGGTCACATCCCTGTTGCTTAAATCGCTGCTAAGACTTCCAAATCGCACGCGGGCTAATTGAATCCGGGGCTGCGGCTCCACAGATTAAACGCCGACTCTGGGGATGCCCGCGGAGAATTTCGGCTGCTCCCTCTCAACACCCTTAATTAACATCGTCTTCTCAGGGTGAAAGGTCCAAAGGCTTAAACCCAAAGCCTGTGCCCCAGCTTAAGACAAAGGCCACGGGACACACTGAGCCCATTGACATTTACACGCTGCGCCTAAGTGCGGCCCTCTCCAGTCGGCGCCAAAGTCCATTAGCCGTGATCTATTCACTGCTGAATGAAGGCCTCACATCGGTTTTTTTTCTTTCTTCCGCTGCATCGGATCTACATCTCGCTCTGGCGCGCGAGATGATTTCAATGCCGCGTCTCCATGGTGGACATGCGCTCTATGGTCAGTAAATCACCGTTCCCACCAGGGAATACGTCTTCCCCCTCCTGCTTATTTTGTGCGTGTGGAACGGGTTAGGGGTTATGGGCTAGGGATTATGGTGAGGGATTAGGAGTTGCGGTTAGGGTTAGAGGTCCGGGGTTATGGGCTAGGGGTTAGGAGTGATGGTCGGGTTAGGGGTGAGGATTTATCAGCTAGGGGTTATGGTTAGAATCAGAATATTTCTTTACACTGGAGGAATCCGATCAGATTTTTCACAGATGTCCAGTAGACAGGTTCGGGGTAAGAAGTTATGGGGCTAGGGGCTAGGTGCAGCATTGGGAAGGACACACTGTAAAAAAGGTAAAACTGTATCGAAAGTAAAACTGAAGTAACAGTTAATAGGTTTGGAACAGGGGTCGGCAACCTACGGCTCCAGAGCCGCATGCGGCTCTTTACGGGCTGCTTCTTGACGATGAGTACGTATGTACTCAGATGCATTGCGGCTCTTGAAATACTGAATTTTGTACCGAATTGGAAAGAAATGGCTCTTCTTGTTATTTTGGTTGCCGACCCCTGGTTTGGAAGGTCGTCTTCAAATTTGAGGATTTAGTTTAAGATGTTGTGGTACCGTGGCCATGAATACGCCCCTCATTGGTTGCCATGGAGATGCCCGGTAACCCAGCCCCTGTAAGACCCCCAAGTTAAACGAATTATTTGGTGAAGTTGCTGCTGCATTGTCAATGGTGCACAAGCACATCGAATTAAAAACAAAACACTCAACATATTCGTCAAGAATGCTGTCACCTTAAAAGAAAAAAATGCATATATATCATAGGCGACGTTTCAGGCAATCGCCCTTCTTCATAGCGCATACATGAATCAGAATCTTTATTTAGACCGGAGGAATCCGATGAGCTATGAAGCTCTTTTTCACAGACATCCAGTATGCGCAGGTCAGTAACTTATCGCAGCAAACAATAAAAAAAAAGATAGGAGTGCAAAATTGCGAAAACTGTAAGTCGCTAAATATAAATAAATATTTTTTCTTTATTATACAAGTCAAATTCATCAAGATTGGGCAATCTTAATTTTAGAGCTTTCGTGACTGCAGGAATTACTCTTTGGTTAAATTATTTAATTTATTATTTTATCTTTATACGTGACTTTACCGAAGGAACCAAAGAGTAAGATTGGGCAAGGCAGCAGAAACAATAACAAAACAATCCCAGACCACAGCAAGAAAACACACAGTAGTCCCTCGATAAAATGAAGAAAAGTTACCTATTACATATATTTTTGTTAATTTCAATGGCGCTCCCGTTCCCGAGCCGTGGCGGTGGCGGTGGTGGCGGCGTCAGCGCGGCGCTCACCTCGGGCGCGATGTAGTCGGGGGTTCCGCAGAAGGTGGCGGTGGTGGCGCCGTCCGCGATGCCCTCCTTACACATGCCGAAGTCGGCGAGCTTGCAGTGGCCCTCCGCGTCCAGCAGGATGTTGTCCAGCTTCAGGTCCCTGTACGGGTCAAAACAACGACAACAACAAAAAATAAAAATAATAATGTAGGTAAATGTTGAACTTCTTCTCCACCGTACGTGCTAATCTCAGGTGCGGGGGGGGGAAGACAACAAACTAAGCAAAAAAAGCAGTTTTACAGAAATTAGTTTTCAATTCAGATTTAAAAGTGCATAGCTCCGGTGGCTTCCTAATATTGGAAGGAAGCGCGTGCCAGACGGCCGCAGACACGCACCTGAAAGCGTGCAATGCAGTGACCGTCTTGGTTCGATTGTTCACCAAAAGGCGCTGCGAGGATGACGGAGTTTGAGTGGTGGTTTACACTCCTTGATGAGATTAGCAAGTGTCTTGTGGCTTATTTGTAGCAAGCACTTTGTGTGTAATGCGCACTACCGTATAATGTATTCTTTCAGCAACTGGATGCCAATGCAGCTAGGCGAGCACCGGACAGACAATAATAATGATAACGCAACGCGCATCCGCACACACGTACGTACACACGTACGTACACACGTACACACTCGGACGCACGCGCGCGCGCTCACTTACATCACAGAAACCACCAATGCTGCACAGAGAGCAGTGAGGCCCTGGCTTCAGCCATCCATGACTGAACCGGGTTCTCACGTATGGAGAGTCACCACTCAATGCACTCAAATTCCATCATACCGACTTTTGGGGTTTTTGCGCTTGATCCGAATGAATTCTAGCTGCTAACAGAGAGTTGCTCATGTCGGTTTTTTGACGGTCGTGCTGCAACCGTCGGTACACACATACATACGCGTGCACGGTCGCTTAGATCGTGCAGATCACCACGCACGGCACGTCTCCCTAAACCCTGGTGTCACTTATCGATTGAAAGCCGATCGCCACACGTGGCCCTCTCTACAGGCAGCGAGGAAGGGCCGTTGCCCAAAATCTCCCCCTATTACACGCTTTTCTTTATAAGGCTACAGTGTCAGACGAAAGTGTTGAGTTATTTTTGTTGCGGATTGGAGTGGTGGTGGTGGCGGTTGGTGCGATCATTATCACCCTGCGCTCGTTGCCCGACCTGATTTTGATTCCTGTTCAGATGGAAGTGGATTGACAAAGGCCCTGCAAAATTAATGATGTGGCGGCACACAACATTTTATTCTTTGGGGGAGACGTTTCGACTGCCTCGAGGCAATTGTAGTCATCGCCATATCTGAAATCACCCAATATGAAGCGATCGGCCTAAATTGACGCAAGACCCATCATGTTGTCATTATTGGAAACTGTCGACAGCTGCACACATCTACAATGTCAAAATGACTCGTTACTTAATTTGCAGGAAGGGATAAAATGTTCACATTAACAAGGAGTGAAGCGCCAACTGTTTTATGTACGGCAAAATCAATTCTAGACATGTATTGTGGCACAGCAGTTGGCGCGCTGCTTGATCAAGCAGGCGACTTGGGTTGAGACCCAACCACAGAGTCATATCTGAAACAGTCCTGGGCCCAGCCCTTCACCAACCTGCACTGACCAGCGTGGCAAAGTATGATCAAACAAACCTCATGAAGCGATGTTGACTTGGAAAAAAAATACAACTCCTGGGGGAAGTCAACATGCTTATCATTTGGATAAACTCACCACCACCCCCCCCCCCCCCATAGCAATATGGAGTTCCCACCACTGGCTCAGCGCAGGAAATCACTTTGAGCCGGAATTTCCCTGTGACTTTTCTTCTGACAAAGTGCCAGATTTGTGGTGGCCACACACGCCTGCCGGGGGAGGCTAGAGGGAGGGGAGGGGGTGGGGGCGAAGATGTCGCGGTACCCATCGCTCGTCACCTGTAGATGACGCCGTGCCGGTGCAGGAACATGAGCGCCGACGTGACCTCGGCGGCGTAGAAGCGCGAGCGCGGCTCGTCAAACTTGCGCGAGCGCTGGATCTGGAACATGAGGTCCCCGCCGTTCACGTACTCCATCACGAAGAACAGCCGGTCCTGTGCGGGTGAAACCAAAGCGGGGCGTGCCGACTGACGGGACGGGCGATGGAGCCTCACGCGGCAGAGGCGGTGGCGGTGGGGGTGGCAACAGCGACCAGCCATCGGTTTCTCATCGTTATCGCCGACCATGATCAATCCAGTGATGGATGAAGGCCCACTCCGCCGAGCTGTAGCCATCCCTCACAGTGGCATGACGCAGCAAAAAAAACTAAAAACATAAAAGATAAAGAGCCCCGAAGACAAAGATGAACGGCTAATACTAGCGGTGTACATCAGAACCAGTCTGGGGTCACCCTATGTCGATTCAGCCTGAACTGAATACCTGAGGGCGGTCAGGCTTGGTGATGGCCACGCCGCCCACTCGTTCGCTGCACCGACCTGAACAGGTGCTCGCTAACAGTACTCGCCCCATCGGCCACATCGTAACGATCCATCTAGCACCTGCATCATTGCCGACTTCATTGCTGCACGTCCTGTATGCGTCTTGAAGGTCTTTCGCACCGTACGCGGCCAACCGTGCTAATCCGGAGGACGCGTTCATTTAAATGTTGTCCGCTGGCCATGAGCAAAGTGAGAGGGCTCGTGCAGCGTTCTCGATCAACAAGCAGCGTGTCTCCTTCACGTATCGTGCCATCCACTGAAAATAACAGTATTTCTTAGGCAGCGCATCAGCCGCACGGCCTTCTGGGAGTGCATCATTTCAGCAGCATTGTTTCAAGACAAGCTAACTCTGGACTGGTTTCTACACACAGTGCCTCATCAGCAGAGTCAGGCTTTCATTGGCCAATGCTTGCGAACTGGCCTATGTTTACGAGGCAAGGACCTCTTTTTAAGATACGAGTCTAGGTTAGACACAAAATTAATGAACACATGAAACAATATATTACTTAAAATCATTATTAAAAGTTCCGCGTGAGTGTGACACAGGAGGGTACACGTGTCAGGTGAAGGATAGTGGATGACGAAATTAAAACAACCCAATACCGCAGCAAACATTAACCGTAGCATTGTTTATATCGTTCGTATTAAAACTCCAACATTAACAAACAGTTCTTATTTCGTTCGTAAAAATGACGACTCCTATATACGTTTTCACGTCCGTCTTGATCACGAATGTGCGTACACACGACGACTGCACCAATGGCAGCTTCGGTTCAGCTCCCCCAAGCGCTCCCGGGTCACACCGCGAGTCGGTCGGAACAACGACGTCCGAGCGACGTTTTGCTCCGCACGCACGCGCACAGCCCCTTGAGTCAGCCCACTGCTGGGTGAGAGGCTTCCCCACGGCCGAGCGGGTTGTAGGGCTATAACGACCATACTTCACCACGCCGGTAGACCCACTGCTGGATAAGGGCTTCCCCACAGCCGTGCAGCTTGTAGGGGTTCATCGACCATACTTCACCACGCCGGTAGACCCACTGCTGGGTGAGGGCTTCCCCACGGCCGTGCGGTATGTAGGGCTATAACGACCATACTTCACCACGCCGGTCACTTCGGGGCTGCTAAAGGCACGTAACGACGTTGGGAGGACACCGCCGGCGGTAGACGCCGCTAATCTTCGCGGCGCTCCCTAGCCGCTCCCAGATCCGATCGAGCGACGCCGGCCTCAGGGCGGCACCACCCCACGAGCTGCACCCCCCCCCTACCCTGGTCTGGAAGCAGCAGAAGAGCTGGGTGAGGTAGGGGTGGTTCTTGGCGAGTGCCAGGACGCGCTTCTCCGTCATGGTGCACTCCACGTCGTCGTCTTGCACGATGGAATCCTTCTTGAGCACCTTGACGGCGAACACCTCCTCCGAGCCCCGCAGCTCCGCGAGCATCACCTGCACGGACGCACGCAGGGGCCGATGGTCACCGTTTCTCGATGTGCCGAGAGCAGGCCCAAAGGCCCCCCCCAAAAAATGTAAAGTTAAATCGGCCAGCAACAAACGGCACTGTTGAAGGTGAATCGAATTTTCTCTCCCCCCCTCCCCCCGTATTTTAAAGCAAAATTTGGGAGTGCCTCTTAGAATCTGGAGAATACGGGAAAAGAGACGACAATGGGAGGGTTTGTTGCTGTGTGCGCTTTGACGTTGCATTGTTGACAGTGAACGAGGGCCGGATCAATGCGGGGACCTGACGGGCTGTGGCCCTGGTTTGTGGTCCGAAAGTGTTGGCCACCCACTTCGATTGCACAGGTTAAGTCCGCCATAGCAACACAACGCCACAGCAAATTTCCATTCACGTACGGTCATCGTCACCGGAGTTATTGCAACCTCACGCACGCAGACGGATTTCGTGCGTGAACGCATTCGACCTCGGGTGCCCCGGCGGCTAAATGAACACCGGGAAGGAAGGGAAGGTGGCGGCGACGGACTCCACCTTGCCGAAGCTGCCCTTGCCGAGGACTTTCATGAAGGAGAAGTCGGCGATGCTCATCTTGCGCCGTCGCTGGGGCTGCCCGTCGCCGTTGCTGCCGCCCTCCTCCCCCTCGCCGTCGTGGCCCCCGCCGCTGCCCGTCTTCTCCGCGGCCGGCTTCGTGCCCCTGTCGCTGCCCACCTCCTCCAGCGCCTCTCCCTCCGAGGGCAGCCCCTCGCCCTCCCGCGCGTGGAACGTCACGCTGCGGCGGATGCCCCCCTCCGGTTCCGTCCCTGGGCGGCGGGCGCAAGAGGATCGTACTTCCACCGCGAGACGTCATGCACGACGATGACGGGAGGATACGTGGCCAACCGATTAACACGGTTGGCTACGTACGGTGCGGAAGAAGTTCAACATACATACCTACATACTGTACATACCCGCACCTCCGATTAGCACGGTTGGCTACGTACGGTACGTAAGAAGTTCAACATGTGCACGCCACAACACACGCGCGACGACGCCAGCTTTTCACTTTTGCTCTCCGACGCGTTGTCAGGTCGTGCTGCTCGTTGTTCGGCACCGCGTCTGACCTCTCTCTCCACAAGCTGGGGATTGTTGTGAGTTACGGGTGGTGCGTTATTGCCTTCCGTGCGTAAATTACTCGTGAAATAGCGTTTTTCCGCCCGTATGTTTTTTTTTTTTGCCGTATGATTCGTGACCTCACGACATGTCCTAGCAGTACACAGGCATTCTCTACGGAAGAAATAAAACATGGGGTTTTCTGCAGAGAAGGTTCTGAGCCCCCACCCACTGAGAAAAGTAGTTAAAATAATGTACAGTCTCTTAAAATGTGGAAATAGAGGATTCCCGATTGGCAGTTACACTGCCACTGTTGGCATTTGACGTTAACACTGCCTCCAATTTAATATTATGAAAGGAATCTGGCAGCAGCCAACAAAACCTGTTTCTGCACAGTGTCCACCCATGGTGTCCACCCATCCAAGCACTATTCAGGCTCAACCATGCTTAGCTTTTGAGAGCCAATGAGAACGGGTAAATAATTCTGGGTGATTTGGCAATAGGCTTACAAGATCTAAAAAGGCAGTTCTTGTGAACGCAATTCAGCATGTGCATCATTGCTTAAGGCTCGATATTCATCAGCGCATTGATTCATCATTGCACCCTTTACTACGAGTGACACGTGGTGACAGCAGCCACAGATTCATTGCACCGATCTTCGCCTCTCAATGTCTCGTCCGAGAAGGGCTTCCTTGCAACACTGGCATGGAGTGGGAACTGATTGGCGTCAAGTTCTACCGTTAGACTAAAATTATGCCTGATAAGAGGTTTTTCCCCATTTTTTTCTGGCAACAAAGCAGGTGTTAAGATGTTAAAACACCAAACTGAAACCTTTTTACAAGGAATCATGTCTGCATTGACCACAATGCTTGTGGTCAGAATGCAAACAAAAAACATACTCTGATAATATATGCATTGTCCTTGAAACTGATTGGTCCACATGAGACAGCTTTCTTTTGAGCCTTGTCTCAAACGGTGTTAGACCAGAGGACGCCAAAAGGCGTACAGCCCCCTATCCATAATCCTATATTATTCGTAGTAATGATAACAACCATTTCTATCTTGCCGTAACATGGCGAGCCATTTCAAGGGGACGCTGTACCCCATGTTGCTTTACGCATATGGCCAGGCTTCATATAACACGAGATGCATGTGGCTGAGTGCCAAAATCATTCCTGGAACAGAGTTCCGGACCCTTCCATTCTGGCCGAAGTCGAGGGCTGTGTGAGCAAGGAACAAAGCGCCTCTGTGTGTCTGTCTGTGTGTCTGTCTGTGTGTGTGTCTGCGTGTCTGTCTGTGTGTGTGTGTCTGTCTGTCTGTGTGTCTGTCTGTGTGTCTGTCTGTGTGTATGTCTGTGTGTATGTCTGTGTGTGTGTCTGTGTGTCTGTGTGTGTCTATGTCTGTCTGCGTGTCTATCTGTGTCTGTCTGCGTGTCTGTCTGTGTGTCTGTCTGCGTGTCTATCTGTGTCTGTCTGTGTGTGTGTCTGTCTGTGTGTCTGTCTGCGTGTCTGTCTGCGTGTCTATCTGCGTGTCTGTCTGTGTGTCTGTCTGCGTGTCTACGTGTCCATCTGCGTGTTGCCCGTCTGCGTGTCCGCCTGCATGTCCGTCCGCGTGTCCGTCTGTGTGCATGAAACCGTTGCGGGCGCCACACACCCTGGTCACTCGGCGTGCTGGGCACCGACTTGGATCTGTCACAGCTGCTGGGCCGCGGAAGAGTCGAGGTGCTGAGCTGAAGGGATGAGAATAAAAAGTATATAATTTAATTATTTGTGTAAACACCGATGGATAGAGTAATGCCCCGATGTACGTCTCCCCCTAAAAGGTATTTTCTCAAATACTTCACCAATTGATGAATACCACTCCTGTCTCGCTATGCGTCGCCTCCACCACCTAACCTGCACGTCGCTGTGATTGACGTCGCTTCGCTATTCGTCCTCGCACCTTGCAGGAATGCATCACCCGACGTCGACCGTGCTCCTAGTGACTTCTACGATTGCAAGTCCGGCATACGCAGCATTACACCACCGTGGTAACAGAATCAGATCAGAATCAGAATCTTGATTTATCCTGGAGAAATCCGATGAGCTGTGAAGCTCTTTTTACATAGATCTCCAATTGGGGGCGAGTCAGAAAGCTACAAGGAACAATATAAAAAAAAAGATTGGAGTGAAAAGTATGTCACTAAAAATAAATAAACTTAAACTTAAAAACTGTTCTAGCGCTCTTATAGTCTAAACTAAAACTATTAATATTTTACCAAGTAAGGCCCACTGATCTATATAGCTCTTTTTCTTCAGCATACTGGCCACAAATGTCATGTGGAAATTCATAGCAGCCACATGCTCAAAACGCACAATCGCATAGAACGGTTGCTTCATTGTGCGATGCCGCTAACCAAATGCGTCTGTCTATAATAACCGTTTTTTTGGTTAGATCGCGTAAATATGTAAATGTGTCGTTAAACCCGCCACCACCCGACACAGTCAATTAGTAAGGTTTGACGTAAACAGAACGTACCAATTCGTCACTAGTACAGCACGCCGGTGTGTTGGAGAACCAAACCACATAATTTACAATCTGAGTACGACGTTTCGCCAAAAATTACAACTAGCTTCATCAGGCGACAGCCAGATTTGTGGACAAGTTCACCCGCTTCGTTCCTTAAATAGAGACGGACAGACGGGGAGGCCTCTCCGTCTGTCCGTCGGCGCGGTCACGGCAACTCTCGTGGTGAAGACGATTCGATATAAATTGCTATCTTTGTTCTCTTCAGGGGTCATAACACGAGGGCTCGAGCACCGCCACCCACGCAGCTCAAATCCCCTGGTGGCGTGCACGCAGGCGCGTACCATCAGGGTTGCCAGCTGTCCCTGTTTCCCCCAGCAAGTCCTACTTTTAAGGCAGCTGTCCTGGGAGATCTTTAAGTCTTCCCGGGGGCCAATGAAAGTTCCAAGTTTTTGTTCGTCGTGGAATCATCATCATCGTTTTAAACCACCCAGGGGGAGGTGGACTTTGCTGTTTTAATCCCTGGATTTTTCTGTTGCGCGTAGTCACTTTAAGATGTTTCTTGTTCGTGTTTTTGTTTGTTGCGGTTGCACCCGATTTAAGAGCCGCAGGGCTCACAGGGCTATACCTAATAAATGAAACTGAATTAAATAAATGAACTGAACTGCAGTTGTTACCGAGAGAAGGCAAGAGGAACATAGGAAGACGGCGGAGGAATTGATCAGCGAGAAGAAATCACAGAATTCAGAGGCCGCGACTGGACAGGGGCAATGGTGCAGAGGAGAGGGAAGTGACCGTCTCTCCATCCCCCGCACCTCCGATTAGCACGTTTGGGCTACGTACGGTGGGAAAGAAGTCCAACATGCAGTACGTGCATACCCCGACAACAACGGCACTCAACGCTACGCGTTCACAGGCAGTTCTCCCCCGTTCCGGAATCGTCAGATGTTGTTCGTCTTCTTCTCCTCCTTCCCATAGTGTGTGTCCCGGTCGTGTGAACCCTCGGGTGGTGTGGCGCAACCGCCGACGCGCGACGCCGCAGCCGCCACCTGCCTTTTTCTTGCGCACGTTCCTCTGAGAGATCTTGTCGGGGGTCATGCCGATCTCGGCGAGCGCCTTGGCGATGCCGCGTGCGTCCACGCCGCAGTTGGGGGCCACGTTGCACTCGCACCGGCGGTGAGCGTTCATCTTGCAGACTGCGAGCGGGCGAACGCGGAGAGGGAACGGCGGGTCACTCGGCGGCGCACGCTCCGATGGCCGGACGACGACGCCGACGACGCAGATACGGTAACGACGATTAGAATGTGTGCAGGGTCATGACGCACTAGCAGCTCAACTAGGAAGAGTTGCGAGGGAAGCGTGGGGAAAGGTGGGCGCGTCAGGGCAAGAAACACACAGGCGGAGAGAAAGGCACTGCGGCACAACTCGGAACTTACAACAACAACAACAAACAAAAACGAGCCCCAGAGACAGCCAGAGCAGTACCAACATACAGTATGTCTATTTCATACTTTTCCAGTATCCTTGTCTGTTTACATATTAGAACAATGCTTACCCGATATCTAACACATGTTTCTGTAACTTCATTTGAAATGTACGATACTATGGCCGGTATAAAACTAATCAGCCCGGCATGTGCATCGGGAAATGTATCTATTCACATTTGGTTCATGTTTGTGCAATGATTTAGATTTGTCGCGTGACACCGTTGTTTTTTTGCACTGAATTCAATGTTGCTCCATTACTGAAATGAAATTTGTATTGCCTTGTGTTAATTTGGTGGCCCAGGTCACTCTAGCAAATGAGACTTAATCCTGCTCTCATGAGTTCTCCCACATCGTGAAGCCAAATTAAAGTTACTTTAACAACGGGTCCGAAGGCATTATCAAGGGGCAAGAGCCCTTACAATGAGTCCCAGGGTTGCCGTGGCCCTATTCACGTTTAACCGATGATCCAATCACCTTCGATTCAGTGACGCCAACGAGTCTCCTCGTTGTGATTGTTCCTAACGCTCGTCGTAGCAGTAGCAGGGGTGTGACGATACATCGACTCATCCATTCAAATAGATCCGTACGACTGCAAATGTGCATGCGTGGAATTGTGCGCGTGTGAATGGATTATGTTTTGTGTCGTAGGTAAACTGGTTAAACGCGACCCCTTCGGCCACTGGACGTGCCACGTTCAGAAAGTTACGAAACTAATCTTGCAGAATATGTTTTTTAATAAAAAATTTTTTTTACAATATTACAAATTGTTTGGCGATGCCGCATTGGCAGCGACGCACACCCAAAAATAAACAAAAACCTCAAGACGTTTGTCAATAACACCATGGCCTTAAAAGGGAAAAAAACTGTCGGCGACGTTTCAGCTATGAAGGGTCATTGCTTGAAACGTCGACCATTGCATAGATGTTGATTTTAAGACATTATTTTTGATGAACGTATTGTCTTTTTTTTATCCATCAGGTTCAGTGATGCCACTTTTGTTGGCGCGCGAGGCACCGGCTTTTGGGGATTTCGCAGTTCGGGAGTTTGGGGGTTCAGGGGTTTGGGGCCGGGTCCTCTCACCTTTGCACTGAAGTCCCTGCCTCAGGAGGCCCCAGAGCAGCGAGCCGCAGTGATCGCAGAACGTGGGCACCTTGTAGTTGTGGATGGAGAACTTGTGCGGCATGTTCACGCTGAACCGCTGGCCTCCCACCTGCGAGCACAGCGTCGTCATCATCATCAAAATAATTATAGTCATCTTCATCTTCATCATCATCATCATAATCATCATTGCCTTCATCATCATCTTCATCATCTCATCATCAGCCTCTTCATCATCACATCATCTTCATAATCATCTTCACAACCGTCGTCATCATCGTCGCCAAGTTTTATCAAGCGCCAAAATCTGTGGCGTCTCATCAGAGCGCTTTCTGACGGAAGGCTTCCCCCCATGCCGTGTCGGTCACGGGGGAATGACTGGCCGTACTTCACTAGATTGGGCTTGGCTTAGACGTGGCACGCGTCTAGCGACCTGGAACAGAACCCACTGGCCTGTCACTCACGCATCCCTCCCCCCCCCCAGCCGTCATCACGGCTGTCGACTCTGCGCATCACCAGAGTCGACAGCCGTCACGCGAGCTCTGGTCATCCTCGCCGCCACAGCGGCTTTTAGGCTTGGCCATCGCTTGCTTTCAGATGCGCTACTGCAGCCGTCTGGAACGCTCTTCCTTCCGATATTAGGAAGCCACTGGAGCTATGCACTTTTAATTCATGTAAAATAAAAACTCATCTCTTTAGAACTGCCTTTTGTGTTTAATTTGTTGTCCTTCCCCGGCACCTCCGATTAGCACGGTCAGCTATGTACGGTGTGAAAGAAGTTCAACATAGTCTTTTTGCCTATAACGCGTGGTTTTATTACGCGATTTTGATATAACGCGATTTAGCGAACAGAACCACGTCGTAAAATAAGAACAAGCGGTTGTACAGCTACCTCGACGTACCACCACCACACAAGGCGGGGGGACGCTGCTGGATGTGTCGAGATGCTGCCCGCTCAGCCTGCGGCCGCATCCCACACGTGTTACCGCGGACTGCGCTTAACCCTACACCTATTATAACGCCATTCTTCCATGACGCGTCGTTCTTCAGGAACGCAACTACCGCGTGATAGGAGAACTGAATGAGATGCGCATAAGACCAGGGCACGAAATTGACCGGTTGGTGCATTTCGCAGCCATTAGAGTCGCTATAACTAACTGCGCTCCCTGGGCGGGCAGTGGGGGGGGGGGTTGCGTGTGACGGTGAGTGTGGTCGCTGTTTGGGGGAACAGTAGGGGGGGGGTCATCTCGGTCAGTCGACCCACGGCACCTGCTGGGTCTGTCCCGTGACACTCCTGCCAGCGGACGTTCGACGCTTCACGTGGCCTTAACGTGCACGTAGCCTGGCACAAGCGCCGTGGTGACGTCACCACCGCTTAGTGACGAATGGCGCTTGTTGTTGTTGTCGTTGTCGTCGTCGCTGTTCAGGGAAGTGCCTCGTGCACATTTTGCCCGCCGTGTGTGCGGACATGCCGCGTTGGGTGTCAACGCGTCAACGTCAGGCGTCCGTTTCGTGAGCGTGCGAGCGAGCGAGCGAGTTAGCGAGTGGTCGCTACCCAATACCTGTCAACCCCTTATCAGTGCCTACCTCGTTACAGACTAATTCAGATCTTATTGGTCACCCCGTGCCCCTTTATAAATCTCAAAGTTCATACCACAAAGTCCCATCACAAGGATAGAAACACAAATAGACGAAAAAAATGTTGCCCCTATTGAAACGTCTGCACGGCGTATGGACCTGAAAACTCAATTTCCCTGCACAACAATACGGGATGAACCGTATGGGTTGACAGGAGGGCTACTGTGTGGTGCGACTCTTGACAGTTCAGCAGCTGGGACGCCACGTTAACCTTTCCCTGGTGAGGATGTGGAGGGGGGGATACGGAGGGGGGGGGGGTCATCAGTCAGCGTCGCAATGAATGAACTCTGAACGTTTCGCCTTGTGAGCCAGTTTGGTAGGGTTTGCCTCCTCGGAGTGGCGACAACAACAACGACGACGGAGGTGCATTCCACAGGAAGACGAAGAAGAGAAAGTGGATGACACCCACAAGACCAGAGGAGGGGACAGACAACACGCAGTCCTTGATTGCAGCCAGAAAGGTCCACAACGCTCTTCTGGAGAAAAAAAAAACGTCTCTACGACAATGCAGTCGTGTGTAAGGATAGGGAGGTTCGGAGGCATACAGGATTCACTTGGATAGACGTACCTTGGACTCTAGTTGTAGTGCCTTATGCCGATAATCTACACTCCAAGTTTACGGAAAATGTTGAGCGTGGAAATTAAGTCCTGACGACATGTAAACGAATTGTCTCTTGGGGTGTATTGTTTTTGCTAATGAAAATACACCCCGATTTACCAAGGTGAAACCAGGACCCTGGTGTGTATGTTAAACTTCTTTCGCACCGTACGTAGCCAACCGTGAAAATCGAAGATGCAGGTGTGAGACCTATTGTAAGAGTAGGAGCGCGCTGCATTCATTTTGAAAAGCGATTTCTTTTTTGTTCTAACCAGGGCCCAGCTGGTGGCTCCAGGTCCAGGATATTGCGAACTCCGTCCCTGCTTTTCCCACCCAAAAAAAACTCCCAACACAGCTTTACAGATTTGAAGCTTTCGTGACTGCAAGGATTCATATTCTTAGGTTTTTTCGGTAAAGTCACGTAGGTAAAAATTTTTAATTAATAAAAGTAAAATAAAATAATTTATTTATATTTTACCTTTGTTAATTTTAAAGTCACGTAGGTAAAACATAAAAATTTATAAAAGTAAAATAAAAATAAAATATTTTATTTTACTTTTATTAATTTTAATTTTTTACCTACGTGACATTACCGAAAAAAACCTAAGAATATAAATCCTAACATTACTAAAAGTAAAATAAAATATTTTATTTTTATTTTACTTTTATTAAAAAAAAATTTACCTACGTGACTTTACCGAAAAAACCTAAGAATACAGCTTTACAGGTCTGGCGAAAGCCCAGCAGCGCCCCACACGCGCATCGGGGACATTGCCTCCTGCTTTACGACTGCGCGCTCCAATTAAGACATCTGCTCGTGTCACCCCGCAATCACAAAACCCGGGGCAGAGCTCACTGCCTTCACCGGACTGGAGCCCACTGCAAAGTGCCTGCCTCGCATGCCCTCGTCACCTGGTGGCAGATACCTCGAGTGGACTCGAATTGGCTCGAGTTGGCCTGATGTCTCTCAAAAATCCAGTTCGAAGACACCTTGAGTTGAAGGACGTCTTGAGTTGAAGGACGTCTTGAGTTGAAGGACGTCTTGGTTAAGTGACATTTCCTTGATTTTCTAAACACACTCGAGTTGTCGCTTGAGTTGGGCCTGGACCTCCTTGCTAGAAACCCTTCCGCGCACGACTTTCCCAGATGTGCTTGCAAGGCGAGAGAGGTCAAGATCGAGTCGCCGATAGAGTGAAATGTCAATTGTCAAACGTTACTGTAACGTCAGAGTAAATGCTACTGTCACCGACAATATTAATGTTTTATTTGTACGCGTGTCGTTGATGTATTCCCCCCCCCCCCCCCCCCGAATTCTGACGAAAGGAATCTAAGGTCATCACAGCCCCGAATTCGTAGGCGACTTCGGTTGAAGATTAAATAAATAAACGCTTCGAGTTTTGGAGAACAAAGGTAAAGGTGCAGCCCTGCAAATGCTTTCGCTCACGTGACTGTTGGCGGAAGGGCTTCAACTAGAGGGAGCTCGAGGTCATTTGGATGTTTGTAGGTGCTCGCTAACAGCACTTTCCCCAAACAGTTTGTTGAGGCTATACGGGGGATCTTTGTCTTTTGTACATGTGTGAATGTCTCTGTGTGCGCGAGCGAGTGTGTGTGTGAGCGCGCGCGTGTGTGAATGTGTGTGCGCATGTGCATGTGTGCGCGTGTGCATGTGTGCGTGTGTGTGAGGATGTGTGCGCGTGTGTGAGCGCGCGCGTGTGTGCGAGTGTGCGCGTGTGTGCACATGATGCAATCCCTGTATCGAGACGCCGAGGCTGTCTGTACCTCTTCCGCAGTCTCTTTCTTGAGGCCGGGGCATTTCGTGATGATGTGCGTGTGGCAGCGCTTATGCACCACACACGTGCACACTGCACAAGGAAACACACACACACGGAGATAAACAATGCTTACGCACCAAACCTGGTACCCATAAAAGGTTGAGTCAACCTAGGTGGTGACCAGAACAGGTGCAGGTATCACTCATCACTGGAGTTGGAGATGGATGGGAATCAAACTCGGATGACCAGGTTCGTAGTGTTGTACGATAGCCACTCTGGCGCGGCCACAATGCTCATATGAATGCAATAGTTTTTAAAACGGATTTTTGTTGTTGTAATGTTAACATGCTAGACGATGTGTGCAATATATTTACTAGACTATCATATTTCTAGCGTATACACCAAATACGACGCTCCAGTTAGTAAATTATGAAAACATATCGTAAGTTTGCTACAAATTGCATTTTAGATACAATTATTATCGACATTTATAGGAATGGCTGCAAACGTATCCATTTCGTAAGCTCACATTCGCGTCAGATATTTCCATTGAGTGAAACGTCTAAACAATCGATGCATATACGCATCATACTATTTCCACAATGCAATAAAATTACATATTTGTTCTGTGCGGGCGAGTGCAATAACACGAGCACGTCTTTGACCAGCAGCGTGGTTATGGTCAGGGCTCTTCAATCATGGCACCGCGGTTATATGTCCCCTTGTCTTGTGCATTGAGCTGGGTTTTATCACATTTTACCCCTGAAGCTATGAGACACACACGCGCGCGCGACTTGCAATGCCCCCGAAGTTATGCATTTGACACTGAAGCATTGGGGGAAATGTTCGGGGTTGAATGTTGCCACCGGCTGGCGACTTGATTTCCACGATGACATTTCTCAACCGTGACAAACAAACGAATGGAAAAGCACATCCAGTGCTGGGATGCACCGGGAATTCGTTGGGCTGTAGCTTCTTACCATCGTGTTCTGCGGGTTATAAGACGCTCCGTATGGAAAGTAAAGATGCTTCCCCCACCCATCACCGTACTTGTGGGGGTTGTTTAATAATAATAAAAAAGTGAGTGTTTTACAATCTGAAGAACACAATACTTCAGAGAGCCGTCTTCCAGAAGATGTATATCATGGGACCTTTTTTTCCCAGTATCAAAGTATGAAAAATAAGAATAGGTTTTACTCATTCTGGCAATAAAACAAGTGTTAAGATGTTCAAACACCAAATAGAGACCTTTGGCAAGGAATTGAAGTCTGCATTAATCACACGTGCTTGTTGTGGTGCACATGCAAACAAATATGCTCTGATAATTATACATGCATTGTCTTTGAAACGGATTGGCCTACACTAGAGACAGCCTTGTACGTATGTATGTTGAACGTATAAGAATAGGTTTTTCCCCTTTTTTCTGGCAACAAAACTGAAACTTTTCTACGAGGAATCATGTCTGCATTAATCACAATACTTGTGGTCCGAATGCAAACAAAAAACATACTCTGATAATTTATGCATTGTCCTTGAAACTGATTGGTCCACACCAGAGACAGCTTTCTTTTGAACCTCGTCTCAAACGGTGTTCGACCAGAGGACGCCAAAAGGCGTACAGCTCAAAGATAATGTCACTATCAGAGTAATGAGAGCTCGGGGTGAGCAGCTACATCATGGGACCTCCTTTGCCAGTACCATTCTGTATTGTGGTTAATGCAGACATGGTTCCTCGTAAAAAGGTTTCAGTTTTGTTGCCAGAAAAAAGGGGAAAACCTATTCTTATATTTTGGTACTGGTAAAGGAGGTCCCATGATGTATGTTGAACTTCTTTCGCACAGTGCGTCGCTAACCATGATAATCAGAAGTGCGGACGTTTCCATTGAGAGCCAACTGGAGTCGAGTGCTTGGGGAGGCCTTCATCCAGCACTGTATTTAGCATGGCTGATGACGATGACAATGTATGTATGGAGCAGCGTGATGAAGTATAGTTAAATATCCCCCCACGACCCGCATGGCATTGGGAGGGCCCTCATCCAGCAGTGGATTGAAAACGTGGCCATACACGGACATGTGACGTACGAAAATCAACACAATTGCCCTCCATTTCGGGATATCTTTCTTACATGACATCAGCACGTGTACACGTGCGCTTAAACTAAAAAAAACCCGCGGTGCTCAATCATCCTTGCCAAATCAACATTGGGAGATTTCCCTTCTATAAGAGTGGGGCTTAGTCTGGAGCGCGTCTGTCCCAGCGGACGGCGCTAAATCACGTTTCTCCAGCTGGAAGTGGCTATGATCGATGGCTCTGGGATTTACTGCCTGCACTAAATAAAGGCTGGCACTTTAACAACACCGCCAGGTAAGCATTTACCTTAACAGCCGGGCAGTGTGACTTGTCGATAACAAGCAAAAAAAAAATCCCACCCATTCAGCCAGGTAGAGAGTAGCAACATTCTGCATCAATGTCCTGCACACTGTGTCGTTAACACGCTCTAAGTCTGCTCCGACTTCACAACGATCGCCAATTCATCTCACCTCGTTCGAACGATTAGGATGGGACATGACGCTGTTCATGGCTTTGGCTGTAACGTGTTTTGTTTTGACTCGGCGGTGGCGCGCACTGAACCCGGCTACCTGAGTTTGATTCCTGGCCACGGCAAACATCAGCGGTGAGTGACTGACCGGGGTGGTGAAGTATGGTCAAACAAACCTCCATGACCGTCGCAGGTTCCTTCCCACGCCATGCAGGCCCAAAGCGTTGTTTGACCATACTTCACCACACTGGTCAGTGTGTGTTGATGAGGGCGGGGAGCATCGTCGTGGGAGCATAGAAGCACAGAACAACATTGGATTATTCTGCACCGCAGTTTGCTGCTCACAACATCGCTGTATATTACACAATGTGTATTATAAAAACTAAATATGCACCATCGTGGAGAATAGTGAGTATCGTTTATACAGATGCTAGTCTGTTTTAAGGATTTAAATAAAACATTTTTTTTTAAAACGACCTATTCGCCTTTGGAGCAACGTTTTCAAGCAGCATTGTTGAGCAGCCAAACTCTGGAGCGATTTCGACTTTTTTTTCATTTGAGCCTCATCAGCAGCGTCGGGCTTGTTGGAGTAAACTCAACGTACGGAACAAACTCACGCGCGCGCGCACGCGCGCACGCACGCGCCCGCACGTGCAAGCGCACGCACGCGCACGCACGTGCATCTCGACTGCTGTGGCGCCTTACCTTGACACTGGTATCCCTGCTTCCCCAGCACGCCCCTGCGGGACATGAGGGCAGCACTTAAGGTAACGCAGCGAGGGGGCCTGAGTCAACACATGCGAGAATTCACATCGCACCCGTGCGGCGCGTGCATGGTGGATGAGGCAAATGTAATGGCCACTTTTTTTTTGGTATTTCACATAGCGGCCTCGTCCGCGCACATTGCAACTCGCAAACGCTGCACAGTTTGGTAACAGGCGCAGTTTTCAAGCGGAAGCACAGGCAAAGCGCAGTGCAATCGAGGCAAACGGCCGCACATTATCACGGTTAAATGCAACCCGCACTTATAACCAGGGCGGCCGGCAGATTTGAACTTTGCAACCTTTTGCAACGAGCATTGAACGGCCGCTGCACCACTGGGCCATGTACGTCAGTAGCTGCCAGGATCCACGTCTTTCGCATCGTCACACCCGCACGGCTACGAAACAAACGCTGTACATTTTACTACTCACCGCAAAAAAAAATTGGATTGATGTAGTGTATACAGCATCTTAAGATTCTATGCACAGAAAGGGTGCGTGCATGTTTAACGTTATTGGGAGAATGACAGTCAGTTTTAGTAATAGGCAGGGGAAAGAAAGGGCAGGGCTTGAGCCCTGGACTTGAACAGGGGGCAGGGAGAGTTGACGGGCACGGATGAAGGGGGCAGGGAGTTCCAGACTGATGGGAGCGAGAGGGGTGCAGCACAGGAGTACGAGCAATACAATACACGAACACCGATATGAATACGAGCCAATAATATTTTATGCAATTTAAATCATCTGGATTTAAGACTCATTTCTTTAGAACTGCTTTTTGCGTTGAGCTCGATGTCCTTCTCCCGCACCTCTAATTATCACGGTTGGCTACGTACGGTGCAAAATAAGTTCAACATACATACAGACAAATGGCGAATGACACATCTTGTAACAGTAGAAATAATCATGCATGCGAGTGGTATTCTCCCGAGTCGATATATGTATGGATGCTAACTTATTTCTCGCCGTACGTAGGACAACAAGCGAACACACAAAGCAAGTTCTCATCAAATTAGTTGCAGAGGATGACATGCATCTGCGAGGCTGGTTCCATTCCGTGCATGAATGATGCACCGGTTGATCCCCCCCGAACGCCTCCCCCCCTCCGCTCCCTCCAACTTGGTCGCAATGCCCCAGTTTCACCCGAGACGTCATCGTGTAACGACGAACGGCTCGATGACAAAAACGACGACAACAACAACAGCAACAAAACTTCCGTCATGTAAATCATAGCGATGGCCCCGTGGGGAAAGGAGGGCCCGAACGGTCATAAATCCTGCGTCGTCGCAGTCCGGCTGGGTGAAAGTCGCGCGCATCAAATCCACGCTGCGGCGTTCTTCGCGTGCTTCCTGTTTAAACCGTGCACGAAGCGTGCGTGGGATTTCTCGGGGAGGAGCAAGAGATGATAGCAGCAACAACAACAACAGTGCAGCCCCATGCAAACGCCTTTTGTATGTGCGCATGTTGAAATTCTTTAGTTCTAGATTTGAAGCTTTCGTAACTGCAAGGATTCATATTCTTAGTTTTTTCGGTAAAGTTACGTAGGTAAAAAATTTAATTCATAAAAAAAACTCTTACTTTGATACAGCAATCGTGCTGTGACGGTTCCACCTAAAGACGGAAGCTTGTGTTGCCTACGAAACGTCGTGATTTTTATTTTATTTTTTATTTTACTTTGATTAATTAAAATTAAAAAAAATTTACCTACGTGACTTTCCCGAAAAAACTAAGAATATGAACTTCTTTAGCACCGTACGTATTCGACCGTGCTGATCGGAGGTCTTCATATTTACCTGCGCTCACCATCCCTGCCCCCCAACCCCCCCCCCCCCCCCGTATACCTCCTCTTAACCCAAATTGATAAAGTTTTCATTTTTTGTAAAGTGTCTTTAGATGCATATGCGTGCTTTAAAAGGTCAGGGGCAGATATTGTGCAGGCCTGCATTTGCTCGGTCATGTCACTTGCTCGTAGAAAGGCCTCTATCAGAGAGCCCCCCCCCCTCTCCACGTCGGCCAGTCGTCTTGGAAGATGTAGCGATTACAGCACTCGCACTTTACCCCACCGCACGTGCCCTGCCGGTTGACGAGCACGTGTTCAAATGCAGAGTGATCATCAGGCTGTCCGTACGGCAAGTCCTTGGCAAATCCTGCCAGCGAGGCTATATAAATCAAATTGTACCAGCACAGTCACGACAAGCAATGCCCCTCTTTTATGAATCCGGGCCATTGCAAGGAACATCCATTTAACTTTTAACAGACACTGGCTTTGTTGCCTGCGATGGGCAGAAAAAAAAACTGAAAAGGTAGATAACAACGCAGCTAACTTCGCCACTCAATCTCTGCAGTGAGCGTACTCCCTCGGCTGCCATACTCTGCCGTTGGTCTCCCACTGCCGGCCCACGCTTTAAAGGACATTCGAACCGACGCTCGGCAAAAGCAAGCGCAATCAATTACGCTGGGGGGTTTTTTCAAGCGTTTCATTCCGTAATTTTGTTGCGTGTTGTCCGGCGTTATAGTTGTGTCCCGTTGGACCGCGCCGCAACACGGCGGAGATTAAAGACGGAGTGGCTGCCAAAGGAGTGAATTACGGCCCTAGAGTAGAATACGCCTGTCGAAGTCAATCACAGCAAGAGCTCGGGCAACGGCTCTTGTGTAGGTGCCGAGGCGGATTGTTGCCATCTCAAGACTTTGAAAGATGGTGACGGCTTCGCCAGACCCTAATCCAGCAGTGGAGAGATTATGGCTGATGATGATGATGGCAAGATGTAGGTAATATGATGATACGCAAGTAAATTTTAAATCGGTACTGGCGTGGTGACTTGCATTTCGCTTTATAGAAATATAACATATTCTTTTCAGTCCATAATTATTAATCCACTGCTGGATTAAGGCCGCTTGCATGCTGTGTCTGTCTTGAGAGTTGCTTGACTATACTTCGCCACCGTTGGCCAGTGCAGATTGGCGACGTTTTCATGCCTAAATCCACAGTTCTGAATTTCAATTGAGATTGGCTAAAATCATGAGCTTGCAGGCACGCTTTTATTTGCTGAGACAGTAAAAAATGAAAAATAATTTACGTTTCATTTTGCTGTGTAATCTCAGGCTCGACGTTTTAATGAACACCCCAGACTCTCAATGCAAGTAAGAGACAAGGTTAAGTTTCCCCCAGCTGCTTGTTATGAACATTTTCAAATACATATTTTTTCCATCTTTAAATATTCATTAATGCAATAATTAAATCGCTTGTGCGTTTAGTCATTTGTGTTTTGCATGAATATGTATGTGGAGCGGTGGTGCGTTAGATAGCAATTCCCTTTGAGCCCGGCCCCATGTGTTTGATTCCCAGCCACGGCTAACATCAGTGGCGAGTGATAACCAACTCTCTCTGACCGGTGTGGTGAAGTATGGCCAAAAACACCCGTGACTGTCACGGCTTAATCCAGCAGTGAATTCACGGACGGCTGAGCATTATTGTTTTAACTAAAGCAATAGCGATTTAAAGCTTTCGTGACTGCAGGGATTCATCTTCTTGATTCTTTCGGTAAAGTCACGTAAAATGGAAATAATAAAATAATAAAAATAAAACATAATAAATAATTCTCACGACGTTTCGGCCACAACGCATTTATTTCCATTCTACGTGACTTTACCGAAAAAACCAAGAAGATAAAGCAATAGCATTACAATCGGTGTCATTTCCTAACACACGTACGGCGGCTTTGACCAAATCGCCCAGAATGTTCCCGATCGCGTCAGACCTCGGAAGCTATGCAGAGTTGAGTGTGGAGAGTGCTTGGATGGGCGACCACCACCGCTGGATGCACAAACGACGAAGGCTGCGAGGTCGCGTTTGTGAGCAGAGCAGCAACACCCACTGCTGCCCTGCACTTCAATGCTCCGACATCTATTTTCCACGCCTTCATGAAGCCGCAATGACCGGTGTGGTGCCGCTTGGTCAAATAAGCTGCTGTGACCAACGCGGTTGGGTGGGGAGGCCTTCAACATCCATCAGCCAGCGGATTGGCAAAATGGGCCGTAAGTGTAAACTCAACTATTTATTTTTATTTTACCAAGGTAAGGCCCACTGAGCAATAGAGCTATTTTGCAGAAGCGACCCGGCCACACAAATGATAGCTCAACGAAGTGGCTGATCGCGTGGAACATTCATAGTAGCCAAATACTCTAAAACGCATGTTGCTTCTAAACGTGGAGAGACAAAAACAGGTGAACCTATATACAAAAAAAATCCACGCTGACCACGGTGAGAACATGCCAACTCCAAATATACAGCAGGCGTCAAGGTCGGGATCCAACCCACGACCTCCGGCATACCAGGCGCCCTCTGCATGTCCATGTACAGAGCGACTGCTGGTAAATCGTTGAACGGAGGTCTCGGCTGCAAATGAAAATCAAAAAATGCCACATCTCTCTCTCTCCCTCTCCATGGAGCAAGGCTCTCCGTGACTGACACACGCGACGGCGCAGTTACCGCGTCCCACCTCGGGCCAACATCTTAACGGAATGCAAATTTTGATTTAAAGCTTTCGTGACTGCAGGGATTCATATTCTTGGTTCTTTCGGTAAAGGTCACGTAGAAGGGAAACAATAAAATGATAAAAATATAAAACAATAAAAATTCTCACGACGTTTCGACTGCAACACAAGCAATCATCATCAGGTGTGAAATTCACAGCAAGAAAATGTGCTGTGAATTTCACACCTGATGATGATTGCTTGTGTTGCATTCGAAACGTCGTGAGAATTTTTATTGTTTTATATTTTTTATACCGAAAGAACCTGACGATGATTGTTTGTGTTGCAGTCGAAACGTCGTGAGAATTTTTATTGTTTTATATTTTTTATACCGAAATAACCTGACGATGATTGCTTGTGTTGCAGTCGAAACGTCGTGAGAATTTTTATTGTTTTATATTTTTTATACCGAAATAACCTGACGACGATTGCTCGTGTTGCAGTCGAAA